AGGGATGTCCGACTGCTTGTTTAGGCCAGATCCCAGTAGGCTGAAAGACCACTCAACTTGACTTCCGATCTCGGAAACTTCACTGCCTCTGAATCCAGGGAGAAGCTGGACTTCACCACCTTAGGCATACGAGGAGTCTGCTGCCCACCCACCCACTGGCCAGGATAACAATCTTCACCCAGGAAAAAGACCTCACCTAAGAAATTCAGAGTCCTTTTGAGATTTCCTTTCTACTTTGGGGGAAAATACAAGCATTAGCTTAAGGGCAAAAAAAGATAAAGATTTCTCCCCCAAGATAAAGGAAGCTAAGTACAAAATAATAACTTGTCTCTTAGCATGAGGCCAGATAAGAAGCAAGACAGGATGGGTCTGGTAAGGAGCCTGTTGGGGGAGGGCAGGTGGCCGAATCCAGAAGAGACTCAGCTACTTCAAGACAGAGAAAAGCTGACTTCTCAGGACACGGTCACAGTCTCAGTTAACCCAGCAATTATGTTCCCAGGTATGTACCTAACAGATACTGTTTATAGTTTCACCAAAAGTCTTGAACAATAGTGTTCACAGTAGCACCAGTTATTATAGCCACACACACACAAAAAGTGGGAGGGGAGAGGGGGGAGAAACTCCTCAATCGATGGTCAACAGAACTGTGGATAGTCACGTAATGACTACTATAGGATCACCTCTGTTATACGAGGAGCCTGCTGCTCAAATTCTCAATTCCCAAATGCTGTATTGAGTATTTCAGACACATGAGATTTAACTTCAGCCACATCCAGAACTCTATAAGAATCTAACATATGCAGTCAAGAAGCCAGATCCAAGAGGATTTTCTCTATGGTTCTTCTACATAAAGTCCAAATACAGGCAAATTAATTTATCTTTTTAGAATCAGGATAGTTAGTGGCTTTCTTGGGAGGAAGGTAGAGACTGGAAAGGAAGGGGTATCTGAAGTGCATGCAATGCTGTTTCTTGAGCTGGGTGCTAGGTACATGGGTGTTTTCGGTGAAGTCCATCAAGCACTTTCCTCCATATATGTTATTCTTCAATGACAGTGGTTCTCTCAATAGAGACATTTCAGTCTCAGAACCAAAGGTTCAGCTGACTTGGGCAGCGAAGCCCTTCTCTCCCTCCTCCTCCATCACTCTCCGAATGCTTTGCAGAGCTAGTTTCCAGCCCTAGAAACTCATTGCTCATCATAAGCTCACAGAGCAGCGTTGTGGGCGCCCTGCAGTGGGTAACCTAGGAACAGTGCCTTGTGAGGAGGTGGAAAGGGAGTCTAGAGATTTGAGACCTGCTCCCCAGACACAAGCTAACAGCGATGTACAACGGGCTTTGGTAACCAACCCTACTCTACTGCTGAGCCAGCTCGAAGCCTCAATTCCCAAATACCCATTCATCAGAGGCAGATTCACCAGGCACCTCGGAATCCCTCTGGGTTTCAATCCTGGCCTGACTGCTAACTGCCCCCGTGACCTCATGTCAGGTTCCTTATCCCCACCCTACACTAAGGGGAAAATACCATCACCTGTTTTGCAAGGCAGTCAGTCACAAGCAAAAAACAACTAATCTATAATAATAAAAGCATAATATGCTAATTAGATCGGATGAAGCCAGGGCTGCAAGGGAAGCCAGGGTCCTGGGTGCCAGAAGGAAGCCGGTGCCAGCACCTAGGGGAAGGAGGAAGGCCTATTCTTGCACAAATTTCATGCAATGGACCTCTAGTTTTAGACTGCAAGCCCCCCAAAGGTAGGGACTTAAGTTTTGTTCATTGCTATATGGTGGCAGTTCTAGAACAGGGCATGATACATACAGATGCTAAATATGTTTACTGAAAGAATAAAATATAACTAGAAGCCAAATAATCATCAAATGGAGGGCACAGCCCAGAATGGGAGCTCCAAAACAAAAGGCAATTTTTACACAAGTTGAAATAAGCAAAACCATCCTGAAGTTAACGCATGGTGAGTCAGATTTATTAGTGAGCTTTGAAATTACCCAAATACTGACTGAAGGGGAGCCGAACCTGCGGAGGGACCACATGAAGTACTGAATTTCTTGGACTATAAGCTGCCTCTCAGTTGTTCACCATTAAGAGCGTATAGACCGCTCTAGGTCACTCACTCTTAATCACTGCACCAATATGCAAGCCCCTCCTCCCACCTCTCCTTTGTCTTTGCTTGCAGGCCACACTTGAAGGAAAGCAGACCCCACACTGTGGGGTTGGGGTAGGAGAACATTCCTGCTCTATCTCCATTTCATCCACCTCCCACTTTCTGGCAGTTAAAAAAAAAAAAAAAAAAATGCCAGGGGACTTGGGAGTCAGAAACTGCCATTCAAGTCCCAGCTGGTTACTGCGGTGATGATGTTAGTGAAGCATTTCACCTGTAAAATGGGCAGACCCTTCAGAAGAGTGTCATGATTCATGCAAATACCCACGGGGCATCCTGCTTAATAGGTCCTGGGCATACACCTACAGGTAAAAGTCATGTCTGTGATGCTCAAGGAAGCCTGCGAGCTATTTAACGAAGCAAATTAGATTCATTAAGCTGCTCCTCCATTTCTCCACCTTTTAAAACCTCCAAGAAGGGCTGGGCTTGCGGCTTCCCGAAGCCCCAACTCAGCTTGGGAGCTGAAGTAGTCTAATATTTACCATACCAGCTTCAAGAGAACGTCGGGGGGATTAAGCAAGCTCAGGGGCTGTGGAAACGCTTTGAAGAGGAAAGCGCACATACAAACAAGGCATTAATTATATCAGATAATTTCTTTGAGCTCAACTTCATAGACACCTGTGATATCCATAACCCAGGGGAGAACAACAGGGGCACAGTGGTTCCTTGGCAATATGGAAACTGCTGTCTGCTTGGCCGGACTTGAGTGTGTGTGTGTCCCCTCAGGATAACCCTTTCAACTGGGTTGAATCCATCCCAGTTGTACTGAGGATGGGGATCTGGGGTACAGGTAGGGGGGTAGACAGATGCCAGCAGCTGATGACTAAGGGGAGAAATCAGAATTTTTTTTTTTTTTTTTTTTTGCATCCTAATGTATGGGCTCCAGAAACGTACTTTTACTTTAAATAAGGTGGCAGCCTATCTCACGGGAAGACGGCTCTAAGAAGCAGGCATGTTGCAGGGAGCCGCAAAGTTAGCCAAGCATCTGAACCCACCCTTTGTTTAATAATATCCCAGGTGTGCTCCTGGCATGAAACCACCCTTTTCACAATCCTAACCCACACATCCGAGAAAAGCGGAATTTTCTCAAAGGGTTTAAAAAGCCTGATGTCACCAGGAAACACTCACCAAGCAGACCATGAAATCGAAAACCAGATCACCGCTTCCCCCCAACAACCTCAAGCTTAAGTGAAGTGACAGCGAATCTGATATTTCTCGCTTCAGTAAGAACGATAAGGCGGACGGCACTCAAAGCCACAGCTTGCTCTCCCAGAATTTTAGTCAAAGAACTTGACCATGAGGGGGAGGGGCACAGAGTTGGCAGCACTCAGGTTAGCCATAAGGCTTCCTCGAGGGAGCTGGGATTGGATTTTGGGGCCCTGCCCAAGTGAACATTTTTTTTACAGGTTGCCTGAGCTGCAGTTTGTTAGCTAGCCAGTAATAAACTCAATGCACAAGAATTTAAAGTTTATGAGGCATGGCCTCTTAATGCCTCTCCTCTGCTCCCTACAGCCAAGAGTTTAAGGAGCCTGGCCTAGCCTGAGTGTTAATTGTTTTTGTCAACCTGTAGTTATTTTGGAAAAGAGAGGGGAGGAGGGGGAGGCTTCTACAGGCTCAAGGCCTCCAATCCTCTTTTGCAGAACAAAAGAGAGCCATTCTGTCCCGGAAGCCCAGGCACCTCCAAGTTAAAGCTGTGGAGTAAGGGGAGGGGGTGGGGGGGTGCTGATGGGGAGTGAGAAAAATGCTAGGTGAAAACCAAGTAAACAATAAATCTCCTCCCAAGAAAAATGCATACAGCAATCCTTAAGACAATCTTACGGGGTAACAGTCCTCCGGATCCCCACTCAAGAATCCCGAGTTACACCTCTGCTTAAGAACTTGGGTTTGGTCCAGCGGAGAAGCCACACTCCCCCCTCCTCGGCGTGGAGGAAAGGAGACACCCCCCTCCCTACCCTCCCTTTGAGCCTGCAGCTGCCTGGGTCTCAGAACACACTGGTTCTCCACCCCCGAAGTGATCCCCACCCCCCACTCTCAAGTTTTTGAACTAAAAGGGGGTAAACAAGCAATTGGGAGGCCAAAAATGTGCTTTGATCTCCCACCCACCGCCCCCTGGGCTCAAGACTTTCAAGCTTGGGACCCTCCCCCCCACCACACACACACACACACACACACACACACACACACACTCTCCCCAAGTGCCCTAACATTCCGGGCGCAAGGCACTGGAGGTGCGGGAGTGTGCCCGCGGTACGACGGCCCGAGCCCAGGTGTGCCAGGCCGTTTGCAGGCAGGCAGGCAGCAGGGGTGCAGACCCTCCGGGAAGGGCAGGGTTAAGAGTGCATTCCAGCTGCCGGGGAAGCAGGGGGGGCGGGGGAGGGGAGCGCGAAGAAGAGAAACAGACCCGGTCTGTCTGTCGGAGACACAAAGCACCGTACACAAAGGGGCCCGCGAGGGGCGCAGGGGGCTGCCCGGGGCACGGCGCATCCCCACACCTGCGCGGGGGCCGGGGGAAGAATGCGGCCGGCACATTCCTCCGCGGAGGGAGGCCGGCGGGGGAGCCTCCCTCAGACCCGCCGGGCGAGGAGCTCAGCCGCCCGGGTGGCAGCCGTAGTGGAGCCAGGAAGACCTGGACCTCAGAGGGCGCGACGCTCTCCGGTCTCCCCGTCCACCGCCCACCTACACCCCGGCCCCCAGGATGCTCCCTGCGCGCCTCCCCGGTAGCCGAGGCGGCGGGACACCCCTCGCTCGGGCCACACCAGAACGAGCGGACCACGTGCGGTTTCCATCCGCCCCGGAGATGCATGCACGGGGCGGGCTCCTGGAGGACCTTACCTCTCCCCGGAGCCTGGCCCGGCTCCAGCTCCGCTCCTCCCGCCTCCAAGGTCACTCCAGCTCCCCCGGAGTCCGCCGGGCACGGCTCGGAGGACGCGCACGGCAGCCAGCACACCTAAGCCAAGGGAAGAAGAGCGGGGAGCGGGGAAGGTCGGGTCACAGGCGTGCCCGGCCCTGCACACCCATCTCCGGATTGCTAACGGGGCTTCGGGGCTTCCCAGGACGCCGTGGCCTCCGGGAGACCGGCCACCCCGACGCCCTTCCCGACGCCACCGCAGGCGGACCCCGCCCGCCCGGCCGCCCTCCCGGGAGCATCGGCAGGGCAGGGGCGAGGCAATAGAGTACCTGGAGCAGGAGGAAGAAGTGGAAGAGGAGGATCGCGAGGGACCCACGAGGGAGCCCCATTGCTGGAGAGAGAGAGGGAGCTGAAGGCACTGCCCGGACTGCGTGCGGCCGCGCGCTGAGCTCTCCGCGCCGCTCTGAGCGCCAGCTCGCGGGGACCAGCGGAAGGAGCCAGGTGAGCGCCGGCGTGCGCTCATTGGCCCAGCGCCGCCAGGTCCCGCCCCCCTCGCAGGTGGGGCGGCGGCTGGCGCGGTCCTAGCACCTTCGAAGCCCCTCGAAGCCCCTCCTCCGACCGACGTTCTCTCGGCTTTTCAGGAGCTGCTCCCGGCAGGCAGGTTCTGGGTTCGAGGGGGGGGAGGGAAGCAGAACAAAAAATTCCATTCCACTCTTCAACCTCCGCAGCAAGCAAAGAAGCATGTTTCTGGGTCTGGCGGCTAGAGCCTTCGAACCTGACCCGAGACAGAGGCGCCCCATTCATGCCCCCTCCCCCACAAGGCGCCGTTTCCCAAAGCTTTGATGGAGGCGGGGTGTGTCCGCCCCACGCCCGGCTCCAGCCGCGTCTGCTGCCCCTGCCTCACTCTCTCCCTCCCATGCCAGCCCACTCGGAGGGTTTAAAACGCAGTGTGGGTGGCGAGGAACCGCGTTACAAAGTCTGCACAAAACCCATTCACTGCACAGCACAACCAGTGGAGCCCGGGAGAGGTGTGCCCGGCGCTCGGAAGTCGCGGTGGCGTCAAAGGGCACAAGGTAAAGGGGTTATTAGCCTCCTAGTCTCCAGCAACACCCTCCCCTTCCATAAAACAGAACACTTTCTCAACTTAAGTAAAGGCAGTTTTAAAAAATGCGGCTCTTTTTACTGGCCTTGAATACTGAATATAGCCTGAGCAAAAACTGCTTGCTGCCTAAAGCAGCCTTCCAGCGAGCCTTCCTTGCACACGGCGGCCCTGGACACGGAAACTGTCCTGAGAACCGCTGCGCCCTGCACTGCGCCCTCTCCCCACTTCCTGTTCCCTGAAGTCTCTCCCTCAACCCCCTCCTCTCCAGCTTTAATTTAGGGGTCTGGGGAGGAGAATGGGGTCTCTAATTGTAGATTCTTTGTCCTCCCTCCCCCCAGAGCTGAGGTGGTGGTCTCCTAGCTAAAAGGAGGACGGATGGCGCTGAGACCCTGGCCGTCCTTTCTCTCCCTGAGCACCGGCTCTGGGCGCGCCGCTCGTCTTCCCGCTAGGGTTGCACCACTCACTAGCGCCGTGGCCTCGAGCAAGTGAATCGCCCTTTCCGAGCAACAGTTCTGCAAGCGTCAGCTGGGGCTACGACACCCGCCAGCCACAACACTAGGAGATTAAGTGAACGCACGCGTACCGACGAGGATTAGCACGTTTCCAACGCTAACCTCAGTCCCTGGCACCGAGCAAGTGCCCCGATGTTTCCTGGTATTGCTTCAGGATCCGACTCATTGGTCCTCCTCCTCCTCCGCCTCTCCAGCCCCTCTCTCTCCTCGGAAGCACCCTTCCATTGCCCCAACTGAGAGAATAAAAGAAATGCTGTAATCTTTCAATTTCACGGCTCACGGCTCAGCGAGCAATCGGCCTCCGATATCACCGGAGCGCGGTGCTATCCGGCCAGGGGTCCCTCGGGTGGGGGTGGGGGTGGACACCAGGGGTAGATAAAGCTCAATATTAAACCGGAGGCTCGCTGAACTCTGCGCCTGCCTCGCCTCGATCTCCCGCAGGGGCTGCTTTCCGGGCGGGCGGGGGGAGGAGAGAGGTACCCGCAAGGGAAGTGGGGAGGGGGGACCACTGGTCGGGGCAGGTCCCAGAATGTACCCTCGGGGCCCCGCCTACCCTCGCCTCGCAGGTTCCCCCCTTCCGCAGCCAGGAGCCAGATGAAGCCATTAGGCGGACAGTTAAACACTAACGTGCCCGGGGATCCAGGTCCTAATTAAGTAAACGCCCGGCGGGAGGGTTGTTGGGCGCACTCATTTCCGCTCCTTCCCGGGCGCTCAGCAATCGGGGCGGAGGCGCGAGAGGAGGAATTGAGAGTCAGCGCTTCCGCCCGCAGCTTGGACTACACTGCGGTCTTCTCCGTGGCTCCCCTGTCGATCGTCTGTTCATTCATTCATTCATTCATTTAACAATTGCTTGCTTTGTGCCAATCACTAGAGATACAAGAGTGAACTAAACAGACACACCACCTTCCATCCAAGAGCGTGGGGCATCGAGGAAAATAATTAAGTAAATATATATATTAGGTTAGATAACATGCGCTGTGTAGAAGAATAAGAACAGAATGGGAATATCCAGTTCATGGGACAAAAGATAGGATTGGAAACTAAATGAAGTGTTCCGGTAAGGGTGTCGCAGAAGACAGAATCCAGCTTGGTTGGCGGTGGGGGAGGAAAGGGGAGGGTTAAGTCTCAGTGAAAGGGCTGGAGGAATGATCAGGGAACCGACAGCAGGAAGGCATTACAACGTTGAGGACTGAAGGACAAAAGGAGGTAATGGTATCATTGAAGTTGGATTTGGGAAGAGCTGGAGAGTGAGGACCACCCTTTAAATGCGTCTGTGGTCCAGGAGAGGTAGGGGAAGATACCCAGAGCAGAGCAGGGGAGGGGAGGGGAAGATACCCATGCATCGGTTTCCTTTTGCCCTTCAGCTCCTGGCAGTGCCTCTCATGGTCCAAACCCTTCCAGAAACCTGAGGACAAGAAAGCCCGCCCACATGGTGGGGTGTTTAGGTATCATTCTCCCCAGCCACAGAGCAGGGCAGAAAATAGATGAGGGGCAGATGAGCATTCAGGAGGCCCAGAGGCCTCACTGAGAAATGGACAGCTGGCCCTGGGATAGTTCAGGTGGTGAGTGTCATCCAAAGGCCTACGTTGTGGGATTGATCCCTGGTCAGGGCACAGACAAGCAACAAATGAATGCATAAATAAATAAATGGAACAACAAATCCATGCTTCTCTCTCTCTCTCTCTCTCTCACCAACTGAACCCCAATCCAACTTCCAATGATACCATTTCTTCCTTAACAAGTCATTCAGACACATGAGTCCTTGTCTCAGGGTCTGCTTCTTGGAATCCTACAGCAGGCAGAGCAAGTTTGGAACTGGGGGATGTGCAGACTTGAATTTGGGGCATGTTTAACATGCTGGGGTTGCGGGCTCCATCCCCAGTTGGGGGCATGCAGGAGGAGGTAGACGACTGATCCATGATTCTCTCTCTCATCCTTGATGTTTCTATCTCCCTCTCCTCCTCCCTTCCTCTCTCTGAAATCAATAAAAACATATTTTAAAAATAAAATAGAACTTCTCCAGATCTCTCCAGAGCATCCAACCAGGGAAAGGCCGTGGCTTTGAAAGTAGGGTCAGCAGGGAGGCTGAACCTTTTCCTCTAATGGGCCTGAGGAGAGTTATTTCATTTCTCAAGCCCTCCGGAGCCAGTCCTTCCTGTTTGATGGGTGATCATGACAATTATCCCAAACTGAACTCCTGACCTTCCCCCACAAGCCTGCTCCTCCTGCCATCTTCCCATCTCAGAGAAAGGCACCTGCAGGCTTCCAGTGGTCAGCCTGAGTCCTCTTTCACTCTCTGGCTCATCTTCTACCACTTGCTCCCTCTGCTTCTCCTACACTAGCCTACCTGTGGTTCTCCCACACATCAGGCCCCCTGCACTCGCAGTTCCCTCTGCCTGGATCGCCCTTCCCCCAAGAGTCCCCCTGCCTCTCCCTCTTCAGGTCTTGCAGCTCTTCAGAGGGGCCTTTCCCGACCTCCTATCACCTCCTGTCTCTCTTATTAAGTTTCCCTATTTTTATTTTATTTTATTTATTTATTTTTTTTTTACAGAGAGGAGGAGAGAGGGATAGAGAGATAGAAACGTCAATGAGAGAGAAACATTGACCAGCTGCCTCTTACACACACCCCCACTGGGGATGTGCCCACAACCAATGTACATGCCCTTGACCGGAATCGAACCTGGGACCTTTCAGTCCGCAGACCGACGCTCTACCACTGAGCCAAACCGGTTTCGGCAAGTTTCCCTATTTTTTGTTTTGCTTTTTAATTAAATCTCTATTGTTGAAAGGATTACATATGTCCTCTTTTTTACCCCATAGTAAACATAAATGTTCATTAAATTGCATTTCCTGTTTCTCTCCCCTATGAAGGGAATCTTCTGTGAGAGGCAAGGATTTTTGTCTGCTTTGTTCACTGCTGTACCTGGTGTCCAGACCAGCCTGGCATTAAGTAGATACTAAAATATTTATTGAATGAATGAAATCAACAAGATAATAACTTTAGCATTTGGCAGGGTGCTAGATGCATAGAGGCAAAATCGATGTGGGTTTCTTGCCTCATCTCACAGAACTGATATGAGAAAGGATTTTTGCAAAGTTCCATACAAGCAATACAAGTCCTAAGCAAATGAACTACCATACTATCATTTTCAGAGCACGCACTGGATTCAGACTCTGTGCTAGGTACTCTCATGCATTATCTCATTCTAATGCTCACAACACAGCCGTTCATATTATTCCCTTTTCACAGACAAGAAAACCAGAGGCCACACACAGCTGAGGCAAAATGACAATATAACCCAATTCTGTCTCACTCCACAACTCATTGCCTGAATCAGTTGCCCACCAATATGTGCTAGAAGAATTAACTTGGGGAGCAGATATTAGGGAGAATTCCATAATACCAGATCCTTTTCTCTTAAGAATCTCTTAAACATATTTGCCGCCGGGCCAGGGTTAAATTCTTAGTCCTCAAGAAACATTTAGAAAGAGCTTTTCTGCCCATTTTTGGTAGCAAGTTTCCTAGAACTTCACTCCCACACTGTACACTATGGGGATGTGTCCCAAAGACAATCGGGTATTTTTCAGTCTTTTCTAGGAAACAGCCTTAAAACTGGGTGAGATCCTATTTCCTGCCTCTCCCTTCCCTGCCAAGTGCTCTTGTTCCTGAGCTTTCTGGGACTCTCACTTAAAAAAAAAAAAAAAATATATATATATATATATATATATATATTGATTTCAGAGAGGAAGGGAGAGGGAGAGAAAGATAGATACA